TCTTGATTTTGACTTTGGAGGTCATTCAAAGGTCAACTTTACTTTTTAAATAGAAACATCTATTTTTTTATTACAGAATTTTATTCTACGTAAAGGAACTAACTTTTGTTTGAAAAAAATTTGTATACGATCTATATTTTCTAAGAAACGGAAATATCTACAAAATTATTGGTTTCAATAATTTTTTACTCAAATTCTATTAACTTTACCGAAAAATAGCAAGAAATAAAAATTGTTTATTTTCTTCTCATAGAGCTCTGAGAATTTTTTCAGAATTTTTAAATTAACTTCTTAGCATTTTCTTGAAGTACTAAATAGTTTATACAAAATTATGAAAAAATTCCCTATGAGCTCTATGAGAAGAAAATGAACAATTTTTATCTTTTCTGAATTCTCTTTAATCTTGTTCGCGTTATATTCGCTTTTCCCTCGCTCGTTAGGGTTATATCGTTATTAGTCGCTGCTTATCGACATTTCTGTCTCTCTTTCGCTTTTGTTTTTGGTTTTTATTAGTTTTATTATTAGTTTTTACTTAGCTTGTCTCCTATCGTGTTCTTGGCGCGTGTCGCGGCTGTACGGTGCACTGTTAAATATTGGAGGATAAAATTTAAACCAATTTCTTGAGTTAAATAATATTTAGTTATTTTTAACTATCATGTGTGTTAAAATTTATTATTTTAACACAAACCATGTGTTTAAAAAAACAACCACATCTAATCAACCCATTTAAAACACAAAATTGTCATTTTTTACTAAAACAAAGGTTACATTAACATGCACATAATAAAAAATAAACTAAATTTTAGTCAAATTTAATACATTTCTTAAGTTAAATTATTTAACTCCATTACATTAATTAAATTAACGACATATTTAGTAGGAGCAGTGGCGACTTATAGGAATGGTTAAAAATAACTCAAATTGAGTATAATTTGACACTACGGATTTAACAGTGTGGGTCGGTGTGCAGAGGGCGCGCCAAGCGATTGTTTCGTTGCGGTTGTCGGTGACGCGCATTGTAGCAGTGCATTGTTACAAATCCATTTATGTTAAAGAAAAGTATATAATTTTATTAAAGAAAAATATAGTTGCATTTTGCAAATATATTGGTGTATTATTCAAAAAAATATAATTACAAAATCCCCATATAGCACAAATCTCTAAAAGACTTCTTAAAGAGTTCCAAAAGAGTTTCCAAGTCCTCCAAAATATTTTTGGAATTCTTTAAGAAGTATTTTAGAGATTTACGCTTTATGGGTCATAGATCATACCCAGGAAAAAAGTTCACATATAATCATATAAAAACATATATGATTATATATTGGGAATATAAATTAGTTCGGTCCGTTTTTTGTGGTCAAAAATGCATTTATTTTAGAACAAAATGAATGAACAGATTAATCAAAGTATTGTCCATCGCTGGCTACTATTTTTTCCCACCTCTCAGGCAATTGTCGAATTCCATCTCGAGAAAAAGTCTCGTCTTTTGAGGCGATCTAAGTTAGGAGCCAATTTTCGATTTCTGCGAAAGAAATGAACCGGTGACCTGCCAAATCGTGCTGCATCCGTCGGAACAACCAGTAATCAGAAGGCGCAATGTCCGGCGAATACGGCGAGTGCGGTAAAATATCCCACTTAAGCGTTTCCAAATAATTTTTTACGACTTTTGCGACATGAGGCCGAGCGTTATCATGCAGAAGAATAACTTTATCATGTCTTTGCTCGTATTCCGGCCGTTTTTCTCGTAATGCACGGCTCAAACGAATCAATTGTAGCCTATACCGATGGCCCGTAATGAAATCGCCAGGTTGTAGCAGCTCACACCCTTTTGGTTCCACCAGATACACAGCATGACCTTCGAATGCAAGCATGAATATTCGGCTTTGGTGTTGATGTTGAGGTCGATGGCAACGATTGACCGGGCATAGCGTAATCTTTTTTCTTCTTGGGGTTATCGTAGAATATTCATTTCTCATCCCCATTCACAATCCGATGTAAAAACCCTTTCTTTGTTGCCTTTAAATCAGCTGCTCGTAAGTGAAAAATCGCCTTTCAACGTCTCTCAGTTTCAGTTCATAAGGCACCCAATTGCCTTGCTTGTGAATCATTCCCATGGATTTCAATCGTATGGAAACTGTTTGTTGCGTAACTCCCAATGATTCTGCAAGCTCCTCTTGCGTTTGACTCGGATCTTCATCGAGTAATGCCTCCAATTCTTTGTCTTCGAATTTTTTGGCTGTCCAGAGCAAGGCTTGTCTTCAACGCTGAAATCACCATTCTTGAAACGTCGAAACCATTCCCTACATGATTTATCAGTTGGAGCATTGTCACCATAAACTTCTACAAACATTCGATGCGCTTCAGCTGCACTTTTCTTCCAATTAAAGCAGAAAACTAAAACCTCCCGCAAATGCTGCTTAGTTAACACAAAATTTGACATATTCAACACAGTAAAAAACAGGGGTTTTGTATGAAACTCAAAGTGATAAACTAAATATTATTGACAGATGTCTAACCTCTCCGAAACCACCGAAATCAGCTGTTACTATGAAACATTCATAACAGCCAGAGCCATCTTTTGAAAACGGACCGAACTAATTTGTACTCCCAATATAATTATATAGAATGCCCAAAACCTTTTTTATAACAATTTGTGGAAAAGTAGAAAGGTTTAAACGAAGCAGAAAAGTCAATGCCATTTTGCAAAATTCGCAATGGTTAATGAGGAATTAATTATTTTGTCTAAGCTAATTGGTACATGGAAAGCGGCAGTCGAAAGAAAGATGTCTCCGGCCGGTGCGCGACCGTGACATTCGCGAATTATGGCTTGCTGCGTCTCTCCGCCCATAGCTACGAGATACAGCGAAGCGTGATATACTAACACATTCGTGACATCTACGCATGACATATTCGTATACCGACGGCGAATCGAAGCGTGTCGCCACTTCGGCTGCATACGTGTATGTAGAGGTGACGCAGTGAACGGTATGTAACCGAGTTTGCGCATGCGTCATCTACATCATGCGCCAATGGTAGCCACAGAACATAGTTGACACAAACGTATAAACTTAAGCCTGCGAAATTTTGTTCCGCACAGGCCATCACTAGAGGTGACACAGCAAGCAGTATGTAAATTGAACAGGATAGGTCATGGTGGCTCAATCGCCTGGCCGGCACGGTCGTCAAATCTAAACGTTTTAGATTTTTTCCTATGGGGCTATGTAAAAAGTTTAGTCGAACATCGGCGTAATGCTACAAAGAATGAAGTTCGTGAAGGCATTAGTCTTCGATATTACGCCGCAAATGTAATTCGCAATATTATTTAAAGAGTCAAACATCTTTTACTTTGAATTATAACAATGGATTAGGCCTACTGGGGAAACCACTATAAAAGAAACGCATAATGCTATCTATCGCAAAGTGGTGTGGAAATAACAGAGTACTGCCACTTTTCTGACACGACGTCGAGAAGACGAAAGATAATTATTTTTTGGAGTACAATTCTATGTTACATGCTGTTCGCTGTGTCACCTCTACATACACGTATGCAGCCGAAGCACGCTTCGATTCAGCATCGATTTGGCACACGGATATATCATGCACATATGTAGCGTAACACTTCGCTGTATCTCGTAGCTATAGACGGAGAGACGCAGCGAGTTGCGATTCGCGAGTGTCACGGTCGCGCACCGGCCGGAGACATTTTTCTTTCGACTGCCGCTTTCCGTGTACTCATTAGCTTAGACAAAATAATTAATTTCTCATTAACTATTCTACTGCCGCTTTCCGTGTACTCATTAGCTTAGACAAAATAATTAATTTTTCATTAACTATTGCAAATTTGGTAAAATGGCATTAACTTTTCTGTTCCGTTTAATTCGCCTAACTTTCTCACGAATTATTGTAAAAAAGGTTTCGTACACCTTGTATATAAATTTTTTCGGTCTACATATGTAATCATACATATGACTATATATAATTATGTATGTCCACATAAAAACCAAATATTGTTGAATGAAAGAAGGAAAACAATTAGATTCAATTAAATGTCGACATTGGCTATTATAAACATAAACATTTACTTTAATTATATCTTTACAACAGCATTCTTTTCAATGTAGGCACACATAATTATATATGGTCATATATGTTATACAGGGTGTCCCGAAGTCCCATGATGACCCTTGGTGAGAACGTAGAACGGATTGAGGTGAGCAAGAAAGTCCTGTGCCGTTTTACGATATTCGCAATAGTTTTTGAGAAATTAATTATTTTGTCTCAACAAATCAGCGTACAGAAAGCGGCAGCGGAAAGAAAGATGCCTTCGGCCGACGTGCGACCGCGACACTCGCGAATCGTATCTCGCCGCATCCCTCCGCCCATAGCTACAAGACATAGACTCGCTATGTCTCGTAGCTATGGGCGGAGGGATGCGGCGAGATACGATTCGCGAGTGTCGCGGTCGCACGTCGGCCGAAGGCATCTTTCTTTCCGCTGCCGCTTTCTGTACGCTGATTTGTTGAGACAAAATAATTAATTTCTCAAAAACTATTGCGAATATCGCAAAACGGCACAGGACTTTCTTGCTCACCTCAATCCGTTCTACGTTCTCACCAAGGGTCATCATGGGACTTCGGGACACCCTGTATATGGACAAAATTTATATACAAACTTTTTTTTTCGGGTACTAAACACAATGAAATTTTTTTAAATATTATTCTGTCTTAACATTCTATCTTGACTTAAAAAAGAGCTATAAATTGTACCCCCCCCCCCC